GGACTTGTGGTGATCCTACTCTTCTTGTTTACCGCAGACCTTTCCGGCGGGGTGCTGTCCGAAGGTCTGGGCCTTTTGGTAGGGCCCTGACCGTCGGCTTCCCCCTTCTCCTCATCCTCGCGGTGCGGCTTGGGGGTTTGGCGCTGCAAAGCCAGTCTGGCTTTGCGTGCCCTTCTCTTCGCAGCCCCGCTTCTGCTTTTATTCTTCTCAATTGTTTTGGACGATGAGTCCGTGGGTCCAGCTTTCGCCGATCCCTCATCCTCAGCGCTCAAGATCGAATTTATGGCGACTGGAGTGGGTTGTTCTTGCGAAGTCCCCACGCCAGCTTGTGTTTTTATTTCCATTATTTTGTTGGAATCCATAAGAGTCCCACGAGTAGTCAGGAAATAAGCGGTCCGTCACCACAGAGCCTGTTGCGGTGATAAGGCAAGATACAATGGGGGGTTGCCCGGTACCCCAAGGGCATCGTTTGCGACACTTAACCCAAGTGCCATCCAGCCATCGGCACGATTGCTTCCACCTTAGCTTGGAGAGTGGTCCGCGGCGTGGCCTTCGGTCCCCTAGGCCGATTTTTACGTCAGCCAAATCCCTTATAGCCTGCGCTATCCCGGGGTTCTTTTGGCCCTCATGCTCAGGGTCGGGGTCACCAATGACGCTCCTTTCCCCGCCACGAGAAGCCAACTTCCCGCCTGGACATCCTTCTATCCGCCACCTGAAGACGCGTCCGGTTGGCCTCACCCATGCCCCCGGACCTCTACATGAGGCCCGGTGAGCCCGGGACAGAAGTATGTTAACTCAATCCTATCTTTATATTTACATGTATTAGAAGAATCAAATGTAATCAAAATTTCTTCGATGAATTCATTTCCATTTGGTTTGTGACAGTACACGGTCCTRTAAACACGGAAATTTAGTTACGTTCAATCTTGGTTGTAAATTGTATTTTTCGGTTAACAAATTCTTGTTCTACCAAGGAGGAAATATGTCAAGGACAAGAATAGAAATTACACTTACGTCAATACATGCTAAATTTGTTCGATGAAGGAATGGACTGTTTCGAAGCAGTGAACAGAATTAACGATACTTATGGGGATGTTTTGACAATATCGAAGTGTTATGCATGGTTTCGCAAGTTTCGAAATGGAAATCGGAATCTTAAAGATGCCCCACAAATAAAATTACATGATGAGTTGGAGTTATTGAAGAAGTTGTGAGATTTAAATCCTCGTCAAACAATTGCAGAATTATCATTGAAGATGAACTTTAAAGAGAGAACCATTAAAAGTTATCTTAAGCGCATAGAAAGAGTGTGGAGGAAAGGAATGTGGGTTCCTAAAGAATTGATAGAGACGGTGCTCGTTCAACGGCGTACCATCTGCGCGTCTCTTTGTTCTCGACATGAAGCCGATTCGTTTTTGCAACTACTGATTATTGCAGATGAGAAGCGGAATGTATGCAAAAATTCTGTACAAGAAAAACAATTGCTTTCTTTGGGAGAAGCATCTGTTTCGAGACCTGAACCATCACTAACAATACAGAAGATACTTGTTTGCGTGTGGTGGGATACTTTTGGAATCATACACTATGAATTGCTTGAGCCTGGTCAGACTGTTACAGCTACAACGTATTGCGAACAACTCGAACGAATGAAACAAGAGCTAATAAAAAAAGGATCTGTTTTGGTCAATGGAGAAAACAGGATCTTTCAACAAGATAACGCGGGGCGCAACGCTGCAGAAATAGTACAGAAAAAAATAACGGAGCTTGGATTGGACCTTTTACCTTATCCACCCTATTCAGCAGATCTCTTGCCGTCGAAAGGCCTTTTTTATTTGTTAGAACTGTAGGGAAAACACTTATTATGTATCCAGCTAAGGATATCCGATTTCCCCGAGAAAACCGGTACCACACAGAAGATTAAGGAAAAACACTTTAATGAACACAAAAACAAAATGTTAACAAGAATAAACACACCAAAAGTAAAGGAACGCACTAAACTACTTTTCCGGGAACACTCTCGCTCAAATTATCTCGCAAATCGTTAATTTA